AGTGACTTACAGGCTGTTAATTCCTTTTGGAGCTCCAGATGATAGGTGAGGGTGATTGTGGAGCAATTGGTGGCATGAAGATTGGCAGGGGAAACCGAAGTACTCGGAGAAAACCTGCCCCAGAGCCACTGTGTCCACCACAAATCCCACTTGACCAGACCCGGGATCGAACCCGGGCCGCCGTGGTGGGAAGCCAGCGACTAACCGCTTGAGCTATGGCGCGGCCCTAAGCCACTAGGTTCCCTCAGAGTGAAGGAGCATATGTTAATCGTGTTCTGGGCTGTGTCATAACTCATACGGCGAGTAGCTGCCTTCTCAGCCTGGAGACCCGGGTAGTCCAACTGGGATTTGTGGGGGGCAAAATGACACTGGGCCTCGCTCTTCTCCAAATATTTCCGTTTTACCCTGCCATTTATCTTTTCACAGATATTCTCGTCTTGTGTATTATCAAGGGCTGGTCTGATAGGCCGTGCTGATGCCTCAGTGCCGAGACAGTGCCACCCACACCCAGAACAGTGTCTTGTGACGTAACAGCCTCATACAGACTGTAATTTATACCAATGGTCTTCAACCTGGGGTACGCGAAGACATCTGACGAGGTGCTAGCGTGCCACAAATAAGTTCAATTATCCCATTAGTAGGTCAGAACCATATCAATAATTGACAAAATATTTAATCATATAATTTTGCTTTGCTAAAATACCCTTATTAATTTTTATATGATTGGCGATAATATATTTGTTGAGGCGCCACATCCCAGAAAACGGTATTCTTCATAGTCACCGCCATGAAGACGTCAAATCATACATAATATATTTGTTATTTAATACCTTGACTCCCCCTTTTCTCGTTTAAAACTTTTATTTAGCACACTATTTTGGATGTAATTGATTTATTTTAGATATACGCGTAAGTTACACTACCACAGGCAATAAGTTCGTGGAATGACCTCAAAGCGTCGTACGGGAATTAACTGCCAATATATTTCAGCACTATTTTCGGCAGCTATATCAACGTTGGCAGACTTGCATAGCGACCAACGGCAACTATTTTGAGGGCCGATGTGGGTCTGCGTAAGTGCATGTGAATTCCTTGTAATATGATGCGATAAAACCACAGTCCACGAACTTAATGACCCTATCTCGTAGATCGTGAATAACTTGAATTATACACCAACAACTTTGGGGGCACAAAGTTGAAGAGAAATTATATCTCAGAGTAGGCGAACAGAAATGGTTCAATACTACTGGTTTATACAATGTCAAGGTAGGCAAAAGTAAGCAGTAAATTGTGCTGGTGTGTGTTGGAGACTTTTGCATCGAACTGCAAACAAAAATTAGAAACAGGCGGGAAAGTTCCTTGAACTCATTAAGGGGAGTCAGCATAGTGACGGGTTACGGGCTGGACAGCTCGGATTCGATTCCCGGCATTTCAAGATCTTCCTCTTCTCCACGGCGTCCTGGCAGAATCTGGGGCCCACCCAGTAACGGGGCTCTTCCTCTGGGGTTGAAAGCGGCAGGGGCCTGAAAGAGACTACTCACCTCCATCTAGTGGCCAAGTCAAGAATGATGGAAACCTCCAATACCCCCTTATGTCTTCATGGCATACTGTTTAACTAATCAAGAACAGGGGTAGCTTTACGTGTGCCTTACTCATTAAGGGGCACATACACACAGCCAAAAATTAAAATTCACTTTTCCTTTCTGGAAAATAGACGTACGGAAATTATCTATTGACAATTATACATCCGAGCTGTTGGTTAAAATTCTGGCTGCACATCTGCCAGATGCTGGGTATTTAGTCACTCTTTCATATGCAGACCTCATGCAGCGTTTATTAAGATGATCAGGTGGCCATGGATGTTCAGCATGTAAAGATGTCGAAACAGAGATTCGCCCATGAAAAGATTCAGATTAGCTGGTAGTTCGACAGGACTTCGAACCAGGTTCGTCCAACTAGATAGTGAAGATTTAGTAGACTGACTGTGATCCGAACAGCTGGGGAGAAATGCACAGCATTGAGCAAGGTCAGGGATCACCATCCACCGCCACTGAGGCATCTGGGACGACACAGAAAGCCGATTTCCTTACAGAATGCATGAACCTCAGTGCGCGATTTGAGGTCCCTCTGTAACGCTGGGATCTCGGTTCGAATTCCTTTCAGAACATGCACATGAAATTTGATTTGGTTCATCCTGATCCGTCACACTAGTAACATTATAAAAGTTTATCAGCTCCATCCAGTAACAGCACAGCGCGGCCCGAACAACAGGACGACATTAAGTAGTCCTATTCATCAAACAACTGAACCACGACGTGCTAGACACTCAACTTCCTTTAAAGACAGGCAGTATAAAGGACACGAACCAAATTGGTCCTAAATTTTAACAAAGCTTTTTGAACCACACTTGTAAACAGACTTACTTACTTACTTTCTTACTTACTCATGGAGCTGAGCACTTCTGGAGGAGCCGCCAATTCAGCAGCTACTCAAGAATTTCCCAGCATTTTTTTTATGGAACCCGAGGGTTCAATACCGTGTTCACAAGAGCCTTCCACTGGTCCCTATCCTGAGCCAGATCTATCCAATCCGTACCATCCCATCCTATCTCTTGTAAACAGACTAATTGTAATAATTTATAAATTGTTGTAGTTGCTAAAGGATTAAAGTTTATATTCATGGCATTGTGAAGATACTGTATGTATGTATTGATATTGACTAGTCACATTGTAATAGTAGTTTCTGCTTGTATTGATATGCCCTTCTGAAGATGGTCGCTCCTACCGAAACATGTCAAGCATGAAAGATTAAAAAAGGGGGGGGGGGGGGAAAAAACATTTATAATCACACTAGACGGAGCTGATAACCTTTTATAATGCGCATGAAATTTTCGTGTGTTGTCTTGTGAGGGCAAAAGCATTGAATTAATTAATTTCAGTATACGTATTGTGTCTCTCGTTTTCTTACATATTCAGCCCATCGTAAGCTCCTTTTCTTTCATTAACAGCACTGAATGAAACGTATAAATTAGGAAGGTCTTCAATGTGCGACGCCTTCTCCGTTTCATTTTCTACCCCCATGCCATAGTATACTTCTCATATGAATTTTCTACCGAATTAATTTTTAAATACTAGTCTTATTTCTTCCAGAAGTAAAGACCAATCTTCACAAACTCATGCAGAAGTAAGATGTTCATTTAGGTTTATCTCATTTTAGAATGAGAACATTCAGTACATCTGCCTGTATGACAGTTCGTAGAGTGTAGTGTAGCCGCCCTCCGAATTACAGCTGCCACGACTTTGCTCGAGCTTGGGTTCTTCTCTCAGGATACGGGTGCTTCGGAGATGGGAGTGGAACGCACTTCGGGGTTCATGAATCCGGGATCTCCAGAACATTGAATATTGCAGTTTTAATTTAAAATTTCATTCAATGGTTAATATTTGCATTGTCCTTCAAGCTAGCCGCTCCGTCCGTCCTACTCGCTACGCTACTGTTAAACACTTCTCTGCCAAGGGTCGAGCCCGGCATCTGACCTACATTTTAAAGAAGCCCACAAATTTCTGTAGGTCTTCAAGGAACCCAAGACCCCTCCTGGCCGGTCTCGCACACGGTCAGTTCATGGGTTTATGATATACTGGGAGTAAACAGGCGACGTTAGGGACAATAGTGGCACCCTTAGCCTAAGGAGGACAATAGCTGAATTACAACTAGGCGGTCCCGGGATGGTATCTCGCCGGAGGAGCGTCTCCCATGGTGTTAAACAATGCATTAGTTGTTCATACCCTTAATTAAATAATTTTGGCGAGGGACGTACGGTTACAGTAGAAATACTCAGTGAAATTTCTATAACCTCTGCAGAATCACGTCCCATGGGAACACACGCAAGTAGACGACATTTTGTCTCATTTTAAGACACTGTAAACCTATATATATTTTTTTCGGTACTAGTGTAGTGTTGTCTGATACACATTCTGTATATGGTTGGCTCAGTTCCTTATAGCTGACATACATATAGTCTTACTGTACTTACGTGAAGCCAGACTAGAATGAGCGATTCTTCTCCTTACACGGATTCAGAATGTTCCAGCACTATATAACAACAGCAGGAGAACCAGGACGTACATTATAGTACCAAGAAATCAAACAAATTATTTCCACTACAGCATACAACATTCATGAATATATATAGCACACGTAAGAAAGTCGTTAAGATGTACGAGTATATATAGAGAACTATCTAACGAGACTAGAAATTGCTAGAAGATAACAGGAAGCATAATAATGTTTCTGAATCACAACACACGGAAAGCATCCACGATCCAAACCTGGATAAGAAATCAGGCTGTACGTGACAAACCACAGCTTGTTAACGAGATGGACCGGTTTTGATTTGTGGCCAAAGTGTGAGCAGGAGAGACAGCACTCACGTCCACTGCACACACACACACACACACACACACACACACACACACACACACACGTGAAGATGAGCGAGGATTACCGTAAGCACTCGTAGGATGCTTGGCGGGAACTGGTTCTTAAACAGCGAGACCGGATTTGTTGAAAATCGGGCCGGTTATGGCATCGGGAGAAGAGGCCGTGTGACATATGATATCGTCGTTTAACGGCTACTTATCAAACGCGTGCGTTTAAGAACATTTTGGTATAACAGAAGAAGAAATTGAGATCCTGCTTTCTGTGTCAAACGCTTTTATGTAACCTACAAAGGCAATGTAAATTGGAAGATTACATTTTTTTTTTCCATTTCTCTATTAACTATGTCATTGTTACCTGACGTTAATATTAGTTTAAATTATAATAACATTTATAGGAACAACGTTTTCTTTTCTATGAATTTGCCTTGATTTAGATCGTTCTAAAATTCCTCCAAGTACAAGACCTTATGTAACATAATGTAACTCGCTTCTTCTTTATGATGAGGGACTGACAACTCTTCGCCCAGCCACGAAACAGGATATCGCCTCATAGGCTGTTTGCTACTGCTTATTCAATTATTCATTAGTAGGCCTCTTCTTCAGTAGAAACCTGACACAATGCCATCATTACACGGGACTCACTTGGTATGATTGAGGCTGATGACCAATTGCAAAGATTGTATGTGACCAGTCCACCGCCCGCAGAGGCTTACAGTGACCCTTTTGTGGATGAATGGGTGGACAGATCCACATCACAGAGAAATGGGCACTGTTACTAAACGGACCCAAAAGAAGGAATTTGATACAGCGAGGAATGCTGCAATTCAAGAACAACTTCCGTCATAGGAACTTTCAGTTACGTCATAAGTGAAAAATGAACACCTAATTATCTAATGCTATGTACGTATTTTATTACTGCATAAACAAATAGCATCCAGAATTGGTTGGTTATTGGGTGTGCACAAGGCAGCTATCGACAATAAGATGATCAAATATCAAGTTTAAAATCGGTATTTATATCTCATATAATTTTATAGATTCTAAATTGTTCTGACACAGAATTACTGGGTTTTCGGACTTCATCCATCATCCGGTATTCTAGAAACTAGAAAACTGTTTTGGAAACTGGATATGTTTACGTCCTCAGGTGAGGGGGAGAAGACACCTACGCAGTTGGATCCATCAGAAAGAGCTAACCTTAATCACTTTATAAGGGACCAAACTGCATAGATGTCTTCTCCCCCCTTACCTGAGGACGGAAACAGATCCAGTTTCCGAAACAGTTTGTGTTCTAGTTTCTAGAATACCGGACAATGGATGAAGTCCGAAAACCCAGTAATTCTGAACATACGTAATTTTCGTAGTGACATTTCTGCAGCAAGATGTACGTCGTTATGAAGATGGATACAGTACATCAGCTATTCATAGACTTCAAGAAAGCCTAAGATTCAGTTAGGAGGGAAGTATTGTACAATATTCTGATAAGAGTTTGGGATACCCATGAAACTAGTTAGGTTGATTACAATCTGTTTAAACGAAACGTATAGTAAAGTCCATGTAGGTAAACATTTGTCTGATAAATTTCCTATCCAGAATTGTCTAAGACAAGGAGATGCTTTATCGCCACTCCTTTTCAACTTTGCTTTAGACTATGCCATTAGGAAGGTCCAGGGAAACCAGGTGGGACTGAAACTAAACGGGACACATCAGCTGTTGGTCTATGCTGATGATGTGAATCTGCTGGGTGATAATGTAGATACCATAAAGAAAAACACACAAACTTTAATTGACG